CCACTTCTGGCTTTTCATCCCAAAAAAGAAAAAAAGATCCACTTCAAGATATTTTTTTGATAAAGAAGCAGTTAGGTAAAGTTTTAACTTTTAAAGTAATGTTGCTGGAAAGCCAAGTAGAAGGCTGTTTTAGTCTATAAGTGAACACCTATAGCTTGCACAACTTGTTCCTTTATTGAGTTGACTAAACATAAAAAGTCATTGTACCTTACTACCTTTCTCAAACATGACTATAACCTCTTTCTCTTATACCCTTTTGTAGGTTGGTGATGGGCTCCCTATCATGGCGTCCTCGAGTCCTATAATTTCTTCTGGAGATACCGTATATCGTGTTATTGGGAGTCTAATCGGTAATTTCTTCTGACTTGCTTTTTCTCTTGCTGCTTTTTCTAGATATGATTATTTGCACAATCTGATGGCATAACATGTCAGTGACATTTGTCGAATAGGTACATCAGGGTATGTGATGGGTGGGGTTGACGATGGAAAATTGTTCAGTGATGTGGTTAAACGACAACATCCAAGCTTTAGTCCCAAAAGATATTGGAGTCGGCTAACATGAATCGATATCACCACCAAAAGGAAAAGAACGAAAATAGAGATAAAAAAATAAGCTATTATAAAAAGATAATATAAAAAGAGATGAATATACATACAAATGATAAAATAAAAAGGATACAAATAATGCTTATATATAAAAGGATAAAAAACATGGAAAAAAAGATGAGGAGAAAAGATGATACGAGATCACTCCTCCACACGAATACTCGCCCTCCAATTAGCTCTCTCCAAAGTCATGCCTTCATCCAACCCCAGAAGAAGCATATCACTTCGAACTCCCCTAACTCACGTCTGTTTGGGTCTTCCTCTCCCTCTCTTCCCTGCCTCTTCTCCACACATCTCAACTCGTCTGACAGGTGCATCAATCGGTCTTCTACGCACATGACCAAACCACCGTAGGCGCGACCGCGCGACTCCCGCATCTTGTCTTCAATAAGTGCTACTCCCACCCTTTGTCTGATTGTCTCATTCCTCACGCGGTCCTTCCTAGTATGCCCACACATCCAACACAGCATGCGCATCTCTGTCACACTCATCTTTTGAATGTGACATTGTTTCACCGCCCAACACTCTACGCCATACAGTAATGCAGGCCTAATTGTTGTCCTATAAAATTTACCCTTCAATTTAGTCGGCATACCTCGATCGCATAGAAATCCTAATGTACTCTTCCACTTTATCCACCTTGTTCTGATTCTATGGGATACATCTCCATCTAACTCGCCATCCTTCTGAATTATGGAGCCCAAGTAACGGAACATATCGCTGACTGGTATCTCCTTACCATCTAGAGTAACTCCATTACTACCACTGCTTCCACCTCCACCAAACTTGCACTCCATGTACTCTATATTGCTCCGGCTTAGTTTGAAACCCTTATTCTCCAATGTTTGTCGCCATACTTCCAACTTTGCTTTAAGACCTGATTGCGTCTCATCAATCAATACAATATCGTCGTCAAACATCATGCACCACGGTATATCGTTTTGAATTGACTTCGTAAGTTCATCCATGATTATGGTAAATAAGAAAGGGCTCAGAGCCGATCCTTGGTGCACTCCGATAGTAATAGGGAACTCTTCAGTCCTCCCTACACTAGTACGGACACTTGTAGTACAATCCTCATACATATCCATGATGATGCTGATATACTTGCATGATGTGCCTTTCCTAGTTAAGGCCCACCAAAGAACTTCTCGAGGTACCTATCATATGCCTTTTCTAAGTCAATGAACACCAAATGGAGATCCTTATGAGCGTCTCTATACTTCTAAATAAGTTGACAAAGAAGGTGAATGGCCTCAGTTGTTAAGCGACCAGGCATAAAACCGAATTGATTCTCTGAAATCTTCACAGTTCTTCGAAGTCTTTGGTCAATCACTCGCCCCAAAAGTTGGTGTGACTCATAAGCTTAATTCCTCGATAATTGGCACATTCTTGTACATCACCTTTATTCTTAAATAAGTGGATAAGAGTACTCTTTCTCCACCTCGTTGACATCTTGTTGTTTCTCCAAATCATGTTGAAGAAACTTGTTAACCACTCGATGCCTCTCTCTCCCAAACTTCTTCAAGCCTCGATCGGTATGCCATCTGGACCCACTGCTTTCTTCCGTCCTGTCTTCCTCAGAGCTTCTTTAACTTCCGTTGTTTGGATCTTTCTCGCAAAATCACGATTTACCATACAATCTGGTATGGACAAATCACCGATATATTGCGTTCTGTTCCCGTTGAATAGTGTATCAAAGTATGACCTCCACCTCTCTTTTATCTCTCCGTCGTCCATTAATATCCTCTGATCGACATCCTTCACACACTTAACTTTTGCAATATCTTGAGTCCTGCGATCACGAAGACGAGCAAGTCTATAAATATCTAGTTCTCCTTCCTTAGAGTCCAACTTTTCATACAACTCCTTGTTCACTTTCCCTCGTGCTTCCCTTACGACTTTCTTTGCTTGTCTTTTAGCCTCCTTGTTTTTGCCTCTATGTTCAGTGATGTGGTTAATGTTGCTAAAAGCCTTGGCGACACTGAAGCAGGTGACACTTCCCCCAATCTATTATGCAAACTTCCATGCAGGCAAAGTAGTTTCAAATCTTCTGCTATTGATTTTCAATTGTATTATCTGTAGGGATTTATTTAGGCCTCATATGTAAGGGTGAAAGGATCTTAAAATTGTTTAATAGACCTAATTTGGTGATGTCTTAAGATTTACGAGTGTTTCAAGTTAATTTTATGTGCAAGTTTAAATCATTTGTTAAATATGTATTTGCATGTTTCTGTTGATAGACTTTTACTTGGAATTTACCTTGAAGATGCTCATCAAGGTGGTAATTTTTAAGGGAAATTTGCACTCGAGACACTTTCACATAGGGTATAGCCGTACAGGTAAATATGAAAGTTGGTTAAAATGATATTTCTAAACCATTTGACTCTTTTATGTAAGCTTTTTATTATCCATATCTTAAATTCCCAGTTTATGGAATATCAAACGTTCCCTGTTCATTTTTGAAGTAATGTTGTGGGGAATTCTTCTAGGAAAAATTATATGTGTTGGCATTTAGTTTTACTGCAGTTTTTCAATGCAATATTACACCATTAAACCATTTAAACTTGTATCATCTTGAAGAAGGTGATAAGATATCAGTGATGTGTATGAACAATAAGCTGTCACTTAGGTTTGTTTGGCTCGTGAGATTCAGAGGGAGGATTGATTTTTATTTAGTATTTTATTTATATTTGTTAGTTTAGATTAAAAATAACTCTTTGATTCTTTTAATAATGCATTTCTATATAATACTTTATTTATCTTTAATTTTTATAACCACCTGAATATATAAATGATATCATTACCCCAATGCTGCAAATTATACGGTACTATATAAAATAAAATAAATGCAGCCACTTCCTTCCTTGAAACAGTCACCTTGTCACAAGGAGGTGGCTGTTTTACCATTTTCTTTTTCTTTCTTTTTTTCTGTACACAATTTTCCACACTAACTGTATTGTACTTTTTATCTGAATAGAAACATGAAGAAATGAAGGATAGCAAAGCTAACACAACTGGAAATATGTTCTTTTAGTTCTTCAAATCTGTTTATTAGTTCTTCATCATATTATCCCTTAACATACTATTCATGAGGCTTTTATGAGTTTTTTTCTGGGAAATTAGATAAGGATCATGAGAACTGAAAGTTGCCAAGCAGGACACTAAAGTGGATAAAAAGAATGAGAATGACGCCAAGCTGAAAGAAAACAAAGCTGATAAAGTGATAAGGATGGAATTGATAAAAAAGCACCAATGGATACTAGTCATATTTGCTCCCTTTCATCAATGGTATGTGTACTAGTCATTACCTTTTTGTATTAGTTTAATTTCTAAATTTAAGAATCAATTTTTTAATGGATACTCGTTGTAATAATCATTGAAAAATGTGAGGCTTTGTTCTTCAATTCGCTAGGAGTTGGCTTAATGGGACTCGGATTTGAAGATGTGCAAATCAAAGGACATATATCTTTGTGACAGAAATTATGTAATCCAAAATTACTGATGCAAAGTTCATTATTTTGTAGGCAGCTTCTTCCTCCATAACCATATTCCCAAGAGCAAATAGATGAGATTAAAGATGCTTGGGCTAGATGCTTTAGTAATCAATGTGTGTAGTATAATTAAGACATGGTTTGTGCTTATTTCTAAGGTCTTGTATATTACTTGCTTCATTGTGATGACTTGTATAAACCTTAATGATTTGACCAATAGAGTGATGACCGTGAATTTCCAGTTTGTGAAATTATAGTCTTTAATTTTGTAGTAATTTGCATTCGGTGGAGCTTGGAGGTACATTAGCATTAGGCCAGTAGCCCCCTCCACTTCATTTCATTTTAAACAAAAAACTTCAATTTTATCTAATTATGAAAAAAAACTTTATGAGTCGCCTACACTTTAAAAGCGATGCATATAGTAAATGTGAAACAATACTTTTAGAGTCGCCTCATTAAAATAAGCGAGGTGTAAAGTTAGTTATTGCTTCGCTTAAAGAGTGATGCAATATACACGTTACTTTATGCATCGGTGGCTTTTGCATCGCTTCTAAAGCGATGCGTAAAGGAAGTTTATAACTTTATATGCGACTCAAAAAGTATTTTTTGTAGTAGTGGGTGTACACATATTTCTCATAATCTAGCTCTACTGGAAAGGACATGCGCTACCATAAAATGTCATTTAGACAAAAGTAAACATTCATAGAGGTCGAGTAATACTCTTAATAGTGTGCCACTCATTTGAGGTTGGGTAGCACTCTTAATAAAGGAAAAATATAATTATATACGTAGTATAAAGGTGATAATGAACATTTTGTACACATGAGAGTAAACCATGAGTGCATGTTTGAATCTCAAAGGAACATCTAGCTTATGAAATTGAAGGAACAAGATACATACTTGTGTGGAGCGAGGGGAGTCCACATGAGATTCAACCCGATTGCCTCACCAAGCACAAAAAAACTGCCCTCTCCTTCTTTTAGGCAGTGGGAGAATACTTTTGAGATGACACCTTCGGAGGAAAGCTGCGAGATAATGGACATTTTATTTCGATTAAACCCGAAGATCCCATCAAGTGCCAGGTTGCTTTGTGCGAAATATCCGAGCTGATAAGTACTACACCTGTGATATCACAACTTACGCCGTAAACAAAACACTACCAATTGAAAAGCTTGTAACATCCAAATATCGAAATTTATTGGTTAAACATAAAACAATAAAAGGCTCACCCGAATACAATGGGGATCACACTTGAAGCATATTTATTACCATTAATCATATCCAAATGAATGTTGTCCGCAATGTAGTAACCTGCTGTCTCCCCACCATCTCCATATGTAATGTTGTATTTGCATAGATTATTACTGCTTGAACATCCAGGGTTGTGGGAAGCACACCGATGATCCGAGCATGGGATAAACGAAGATGTAGAGGAACCTTGCGGGTTGAAGAATTGAAGGTGGAACTGCAAAAGAAATTTAGGTCAGTCAAATTTTAATTTAGTGTTAACAGCAAACTTAAATTCTGGGAAATTGAAAAGGGAAAAAAGACTGCAATTATACCAGAAATCCGCTAGATAGTGGACAGCCATTGCACGATGCACAACTGACCCATGAAATTTCACTGTCGGTGTCTATCTGGACGCGGAATTCCAATGGCGGTGAACCCAATAGAAATCGAGTGTAGTGAAGTCTGAAGCAAAATAACAAGATCGGAATAGTGAATTTGCTAAACTGAACGAAAATAAGATCGACAATAAAACAAGGGGATCATCTTAGAATCAGGGATTAACGAAAATAGTAATTGTCGACTAAAATTAAACTTAATTCTCTAAATAGGACTCCATGTTTTTAATTCCGCAAGACTCCGGATTATCATAATGCCCTTTTATATAATATTCCCTCCGTCCCAAAAAACTTGGCCAAAGTTGTCTTACACGTAGATTAATAAAGTAAAAACTGTGTGGTTGAAATTTGTGCAGAGAAGAGAGAAATAACTTTAGACACATATTCCTTACTTTAAATGGAATTGGCAAGCTTTTTTCGGCACGGCTAAAAAAGGAAATTTGGCTAACTTTTATGGGACGGAGGGAGTATCAAACCCTAGACAATGCTACTGTCAAGACATTGGTTCTCCATATCAAGACCCCCTTCTTTCACTCTCGCCGTCCTGCAATGCTACCATCACCACTTCCCTTCTTCTAGGTTTGCTTCTTCTTCTCTGTTCTTCTTCTTCTCTCTGTTTTTTATTTAAAAATCAAATTATCACTGATTTTATTGGTTTTGGTAGAACTTTTTTATTTCATTCAAGTTTTGAGTTTTGTCATCGATTTATCTCTTTTCTGGGCATTGATTTCGTAGTTATGATTTCCGATTTTAATAAATTTGCGATTTCTGTAAAAACTTTGGTTTTTCCGATTTTGGATATTGGGTTCTTGCTTTGCCAAATATTTGGCATTTTCGTGTGAAATGTTCTGGCAGAAATTTTGTATTTTCACATCGATTTGAAAATAGTGTCAACTGTATGGCAGATTTGCATATGATATTATGGCAAAAACATATTGTTTTGTTTGACAAACTGTCAAATTTAATTAAAGAAATTGCGAATATTATGTTCTCTTTTAATAAAAGATGGCAGAAAAATATTGTTTTCTTCGATAAATTGCTAATTTAATTAAAGGAATAGCCAATATTATGTTCATTTTTAATAAAATGTCCCTTTTGTTGCAGCAACATGACATTTTTTTATCAACTGTATGGCAGATTTGCATATGATATTATGGCAAAAAAATATTGTTTTGTTTGACAAACTGTCAAATTTAATTAAAGGAATTGCGAATATTATGTTCTTTTTTAATAAAAGATGGCAGAAAAATATTGTTTTCTTCGATAAATTGCTAATTTAATTAAAGGAATTGCCAATATTATGTTCATTTTTAATAAAATGTCCCTTTTGTTGCAGCAACATGACATTTTTTTATCAAAATCGGCATCGGTGGTGCTCGAAGCGACGGCGGCGATGGGTCGGCATGGCTATGCCGGAAGTGATGGTGGCAATGGTGCCTGGCGTAACATTCCCGGAAGTGGCAGCGGCAGGATTGAAGTGGCGGCGGCAAGATTGAAGTGGCGGCAGCGGAATTGAAGTGGCGGCAGCGGAATTGAAGTGGGGATAATGACTCCTTGAATGCTCGATGCGGCTGTGGAAATTAGGGTTTTAGAAAGTTCTTCATTTCTTTTTAAATGTAAATAGATTTACAAATTCAGTAAGGGTAATTTTGTAAAGTATGTTCATTTTTAGTCCTATAAAATATGGAGGTTCTATTTGTGCATTTTTTCACTGTTTTAGTCCTATTTGAGGAATGATGAATATCACCAAATTGTCCCTAGTGCATGTATATTGATAACACATGGAATTTCAAAGCTTTGAAAGACTAATTGGGACACAGGAAAGGGATAAAATATTAGAGAAGAAACGTTGTTAACGAAAATTCAGTACACATAGCTTTGATAAATTACTTATCTCCCTCAATATTAGGAAATCAGTAAGGAACATAACCACACTAGGAAGAATTCAATAGTTTATGAGGAATTGCACTAAATATGATTAAAAACTTTTATAATAAGTTTCAAAATATAATTGGCATGCTTTTATTCTCAAAGTAAAAGTAATTATTGCCACGATTTGGCAATATCAGACCTTAAACATGACATAATTTTCCAAACTCAGCAATTTTGGAATTGCATATTACTGATTTGGCAATTTCATTCCTTACTGTTTTAATTCCATTTCAGGGACTTTCCATTAATTTATTCTTTTGCCTCTAGTGATATAATGAAACATGTTATAGCAGGCACTCCCAAAGAGCTAAGTGGGGTTGGGAAGTCGAGAGTGTCTCTCTCTAGCCATTCGCGGCCAGATTCTTCCCCACCGGTTCTTCTTCCGGTCGGCACCACCACTCACGGTGGCGGCCCCGTCGAGGCCCTCCTAGCTCCGGCGGGTCTTTTAGGTGCTATGGTCATTTTTGGAAAACTCCTCCACCACTTCGGTGATATTTGTGAGGCTGTTAGGTTGAATTGTTATTGCCCTTTCTCTTGGGTAGTTTGATTCTCGTTACTGTAATTTGTTCTTGGATCTAATGGAGCATGGTTTACTGGATGTTATCCAATGGTTTAAGATCTCGCCAGAAAGTGTTGAGTCACTGTCGCTGACAGTCAGTAATGCGAGATACTAGCTTGAGATGGGGGTGTGTAACGGAGGTGAATGGGTCTGGCATGGGGGTTTGGTGCGAAAAGGTGGGGTTTGAGACCTACAGATATGAACCAGATGTGCTGTTGGTTAACATGGAGATGAAGATTTGCCTACGTCCTCCGCTACCGGAAGGCAAAGCTCAACGGAAAAATACCTTCTCCGGCTAAGAAAACAGTTAGTATCTGTGGCTTCATGACTTCATCTTTGATTTGGGGGGATGATATGATGGTGAACGGGTTGGACAAGCTTGGACCTGGTTGTTTTGATAGTGGGTCTAGCCTTGAAGGTTTTGACCGCATGCAGGCAGTGTTACATACCAGGTCGGCTGCTTTACCTCGCCGAAATTTGCCTTATTTGGGAGTGATAGATGGTGGGATTAGGAGGCCGTTCGACTAGTTGGGAATGGTTAAGGGTCTTCTGACGACCAGAAGCCCTCTTGGGTTACTCTAGGTTCTTGTTGAAAGTCTTGTTTTCTCTGCTCACTTGCGCCGGGAAAAAAAGTCCCCGCCACTAACAACGGTAAGTAACTTTGGAAGCAGTTTTGTTGGTGGGCTGCTACTTGGTGAACGACTTCCTACCTGGAGAAGATAAAGATGGATGGTGGGTTTGATGTCGTCAGATTTGAGCTCAGGCAATTGGTGACATCTCCGACTGTTTAGGTTACTCTGTTCCTCTCTTACCTGACCGCCGGGATAAATACTTTATGAGTCACCTACACTTTAAAAGCGATGCATATAGTAAATGTTCTTTTGCCTCTAGTGATATAACGAAACATGCACTACAAAAAAATTACGGGATTGACAAGGAATTTGGCACGAACTTACCGATTTTTTGTGCCAAATAGCTCGTGCGAAAGTGTTTTTGGCACAGATTTGGCATTTCCCTGTCAAAATTCCTGCCAATCCCTTGGTTTTTGTGCAGTGATGTTATAGCATATTACTACGTAGTATGTGTCCCATACGACTGTATAGAACCATAACGGGGCGGATTAGTATAGAACCATAACCGCACCATTATCCATTTAAAAAAATTGGGTATTCCCTACCCCGTACCCGTTCCCCAAACAAACTGGTTTTCCCCATTTTGACCAAATCGATTCAGTGCAGGTATCCAACAGGTTGGATGAAATTGCCATCTCTAGTATAGATACGAAAATATATCTTCTATCTTCATTTTTTGTACTTTCTCGATACTAAATTGAATTGTAATTTACGAATTTTAAGGTAGATTGACGATTAGTTCAAAAAAAGGTGGGTTGACAATAGAGTTAAATCGCCTCTACGGACAATTAAATAAGTTTATTTATTTAAAATCTGTATTTCGTAAATTGCATTAAAAGTTTTATATACTTCCTCCGGTTCCAAAAGATCTTGACACTTTGACTTCACAATTTTTAAGGAAATAAACACTGTTTGGCACTGTTTGGCACTGTTTCGCATTGTTTTGTGTAGATTTATTTGCCAAATAAGACAAATAAAGAAGTGTAAAGATCTTTCTGGTACTGCTAAAAATGGAAAGTGTAAAGATCTTTCAGAACTGGAGGGAGTATTAGATTATGTTACATTGATGCTGGACTTGCCTGATTATGCCAACACATATGTGTGTCAGCAAGTTAAATCTAGGTGGCCAAGGTAACGTAACGTGGTCATAGTATTTTAAATATAAATATTTAAAAGAGAAAAATAATATAAATATTCCAAACGTTTAAGGGTGTGAGATAAATACTACAAAATTACATATATAATATACATATCCCGAACTTTATATAAAAATTTATTTTAATTTTGATAAATTTGTTTTTTCTTTCTTAAATATAAATTTATTGTGATAAGTAAATAAATTAAAATATACCAAACTTGTGTTAGGATGTAGTTAGCATTCTAAAGTTCCATTTGTGAAATTAATAATACTACATCCGGTTCAATATAATGTTAATTACATCCTCATATATGCTTTGAGTATTTTAAATTATATACTTAAGATCATATATTTACATTTTTGAAAGAAAAAATATGATAACGGTACTAACATATATTTTCATATCAAGTTTGGGGTATATATATTACATGTGCAAGTTTAGGATACTTACTTCACACTCATGCAAAGTTTTGGATATTTAAATTATTTTTTCACTATTTAAAATAGATATATACAAGTACTAGTATGTTTTAAATATTAATTAAAACATTCTACTCATATTTTTGTCCTTATCGTTGGAAACAGTAATATTCATGTCATTATTTTTATATATTTTTAATTTTATAATCGCCTCAATTTTATTAGTTTTAATATAGCCCTAGGCGTATAGTCATTCAGACTATAAGAGCCTGAATTGGCTAAAATGTTAAGAATACAATAGGCCAAAATGTTAAGGACCGAATTACAAGTAGGACCAAATATTCGAGATTACCTAGCCCTCTGTATTCAGTGGTGGATCTTACAAGAAAGCGTTGGTTGAATTGTTCAAATTTACTTTACCATTAAGATGTTATAAAATAATATTGTTTGATTCAATAATTGAAGAAATATAACTTTTCAACAACAAAAACTAACAAATATGGTTAAATGTTAAAAATATTACGTAGCATATAAAAACACAATACATAAAATATAACTTCAATTCTGTACATGTATTTTTGCATTTTATTTTCAAAATGTTGGGTATTCACATGAACACCATTGAACAAATAGCATCCGCTACTGTGTGTATTAATTAAAGGGAGAATGCATAGATATAACCTTGAACTATATGCTAGAGAACAAATATATCCCTCAACTTTCATTTGGAGCAATTAAGCACAATAATGGTAAAGTTAGAACAAATATACCCTTTTGTCCATGGTCAAGGGTATATATGTTTTATGGTATATAGTTAAGGGGTATATATGTTCCCTAGTAAATGTATACTCCTTATTTGTTTTAAGTATAAAAACTATGCGTTTAATTGTTCCAAAATGAAGTTGGAGGGTATATTTTCTCTCACACGTAAAGTTCAATGGTATATTTGTTCCTTATCCCATTAATTAATCTTTAACATATAAATGCCTCAAAAATCTAGTAATTTACATAGTATTAGTCTTTTAAGTCTTAGATATGAATAATACGGAGTAAAATATTAACAATAAAACTAATCATAAAGTAGCCAAAATCATAAAACATTCTAAATTTCCATATAAATTATTACAGCTTTAAGATTTCACCCAAAAAAATCATCAGTGTTTGCTGAGTAGCTCAGTAAATCCAACATGTCAACGAGTTAAGAAAATTGTCTGTACTAGGCTGGTAACCAGAAAATTGAACGTACTACCTCCGTTCCTATTTTATCTTCCAACCCACTTTGGCACACAATTTAAGAAAAGTGGGTATTGTGTGGTGGAGAGTTGTGCAGAGGAGAGAGAAATGTGTAAGAAATGTTGTGAACCACAAATTTAAGAAAATTTAATTGGAACAGACAAAAAAGAAAAGTTGAAAGTTTATTTAGGAACGAAAGGAGTATTATTTATATAATTGAATAATGGGCCGGGGCACATGCCATCAATAATTTTTTTGGAATAGGACAAACCGACAAACGTATAGAAAAAAATTGTACGTATTATTTATATAGTTAAATAATGGGCCGGGGCACATGCCATCAATAATTTTTTTTGGAATAGGACAAACCGACAAAGGTATAGAAAAAAATTGTACGTATTACTTATATAGTTAAAGTACTTACACCCTATGAATTGTTTCTTTTGCCCCCAATTTTTTTTTTCAATTACAAAATGGAGCATAAAAATAGTATGCTATGTAGGATCATTTAAGCTCACTTGAAATGGATTAAAGCTAAGTGTTAATGCAACCACAATAATCTTAATTAACTATAAATTTAGCAACAAGTATGTACATTAATTGCATCTCTATTACTTGCTTGCTTCATCGAACGTTTCAAGTAGACATGTACAAAAATGGATTCGGGCTGGGTTCGGACCGGGCTCGGGCCAGACTTTTAATAAAATTTCTTATCATCATGTGAGAGCGGGTCCGGTCCGGCCCGCAAAAACGGGTCCAACCCCATGTCCATATCCGTCCGTAAGAGAGGCCGGGTAGTCCACCGGACCGCCCGGCCCGGTAAAACTTAATTTTTTTCAAAATTATACGAAGTATGATTTTTTAAATGCTTTAAAAATAATATTACAACATTTAAAAAATTGCTAATATACTTATAATGTTTATAGGTCTTTCACCACATACAAAAAAAATACTTACACAAACATAATAATGAGAAACTATATCTAAAATTTAAAATTTAAGCACAAAGTGTTATCTTTAAGTACAAAAATAGATACTCCCTCTGTTCCATAATGAAATTCACAGTTTGACCAATACACATATTAAGGAAATAAACTTACCATGGGGTAAATTTTACTGTTTTGACACCGTTTCGACACTGTTTGGCACTGTTTTGGGCCGTTTCGACACTGTTTGGCACTGTTTTGCACTGTTTGACACTGTTTTGATTTAGATTAATTTGTCATTTAAGGAAATGAGAACTTGTTTCTGGGACATCAAAAAAAGGAAAGTGGGAAGTTCATTGCGGGACGGAGGGAGTATTATATTGGTTAGGCTACTTGTTCAAAACTAAAAATTTAAATTTAAACACAATAAACTATAAATATGTATAAAGAAAATTAGTAAATAAAATATACATATGTATATGTAATAAATAAATAAATAAATTAGTATATATATATAAATATATATATATATATATATTTATATATACTAAATGTAGCGGGTCGGACTTATTGGCCCGAACAGACCTACGTTTCAAGTAGACATGTACAAAAACGGGTTCGGGCCGGGCTCGGGCCGAGCTTTTTATAAAATTTCTTACCATCATGTGTGGGCGGGTCCGGCCCGGCCCGCAAAAACGGGCCTAACCACATGTCCATATCTGCCCGTAAGAGAGGGCTGGGTAGTCCACCGGGCCGCCCGGCCCGGGAAAACTTTATTTTTTTCAAAATTATACGAAGTATGATTTTTTTAATGCTTTAAAAATAATATTACAACATTTAAAAAATTGTTAATATACTTATAATGTTTATAGGTCTTTCACCACATACAAAAAAAATACTTACACAAACATAATAATGAGAAATTATATCTAAATTTTAAAATTTAAGCACAAAGTGTTATCTTTAAGTACAAAAATAGATATTATATTGGTTGGGCTACTTGTTCAAAACTAAAAATTTAAATTTAAACACAATAAACTTTAAATATGTATAAAGAAAATTAGTAAATAAAATATACATGTGTATATGTAATAAATAAATAAATAAATTAGTATATATATAAATATATATATATATATATATATATATATATATATATATATATACTAAATGTAGCGGGTCGGAATTATTGGCCCGAACGAGCCTACCCCACAACCCAAGCCCGCTCATATCTTACTACGTATATTCTGGTAGCTAGCTTGCACAATAAAATGAAGGTTCGTATTTTCTGTACTAATTTTCTCAGGGTTGAATATATGTGCGTCAAATTTGAGATGAATAATGTAAAACACAGTGTTTCATAAATTACCCAGCAAGGAAGGGGGCATATGTTCCTTGTACAGTGAACTGAACAACTCCCGCTGGCATTTTTCTTGCACGCCTCGCTATGTCCGGTATTTGGAGTTCCGATGCACTGACATTGGAGAATGCTCTGTTTAGGGGGGAACTTATCCCCTTAACATGAGCTACGCCAAGAAAAAGAACCATAATCAAGGGAAAATTAGATGAAAGTGCCCTTCTGATTTTTGTGAAAGGAGGATAGTCTGTTTTGTTTCTTGAAAGAGAGAGAAGCAGAGCTCACCATAACACTTGCGAATGTGATCTCTGTCGGTAGCAAATGTCCCCATACAGATGCAGGTGGAGAATCACATCTTATAACAAGCCAGAAGCCTCTGAGAGAGGAAATTACCAAAATACGGAAGTTTGGCGTCTGACAAGCCAAATAGCGGGAGTTCCAATTAGCTTACCAAAATACCGGAGTCGGATTCCCGAATTGCGACTGGAGGAAAGCTAGGAAATTAAACCAACACAAACTCTCCTCTCGGAATTCCCTAATCCGACTAGGAGTAAAATGGTCTGGTTTTATAAATTACGAATTGTGTAGAAATCTTATTGTTCAATCATTACTCAATCAACTCAAAGTTTATCACTTGTGTCGAATCTTGATTTTAGATTTTAATTATTTTAGTAACCTTTAAATTACTAAAATTTTAAAATGGGTTTTATAAATTACGGATTCTGTATAATTATTAATTACTTATTTTAGTAACTTTTAAAATTTGAATTTTAGATTGTGAAATTGGAATTTTAGAGTTACACTTAGCTATGAAATTCTAGAAATTTAGAAATTGAGTTAAATTTAAAATTTTAGTTAAATTTCGAATTTAGGAATTCAGAAGTAGTTAATTAATTTAGTAATATGGGAATTTTTAGTTAACTTTCGAATTTTAGCTATTGGTGATTTTTTAGAATTTTATACTAGTATTAGATTGTAATTTTAGAGTTAAATTTAGCTATAAAATTCTGTAAAGTTAGAAAGTGTGTTAAATTTAAAATTTGACTTAAATTTTGGTTTTAGGACTTTAGAAGTACGTATTTTAGTAATTTGTAAATTTTTAATTTGGATTGTGAAATTGGAATTTTAGAGTTAAATTTAGCTATCAAATTCTAGACTACTGATATTAATTATTTTGTCTTCATTTTGCTCAAGAATATTTGAGTATTGTTGTAATTTGTTTAGCCTTCTTACGATGCAATGCTCTCTACTATATATGCTGCACATCAGAAAAGTTTTAACGCTGTTGTCAGGAAATTAGCTAATTGTTGATGATTTAATGGCAAAACGGTAACTTTAGTGTGAAACCTTAATGCCTTGATATTTTTTTTAATGCCTTGATATTTTATTCATATTCCTACATAATTATGATTGGTCTTTTTTATAGATATTACTAAAATAATCATATTTTTCTCCATAATAACTCTGGGAGTAATATGTATGCCATTATTTCATATTGACTTAATATGAATATTGATATTACAAAAAAAAAAACATTTCATATTTCTGGGTGTTGGATTATTTAATCCTAATTCTCTCACATGTTATTTTGTTATAATTAAGATAGGATGGCAAAGTAATTAGGCCTGTTTTATTTCTTTTCTTTATCTTTGGGTTATCTCTTTAGTGGGTTGGTTGGTTGGTTGGTGCATTGGGCTTGATCTGCTAACTGATTGCTGTTGGGCCTATTTTGGGTCCGGCCTCTTGGTTATATTTTCTGCCCGGATGAAAGGTTATTTATATAACCTTCGTCTTCTGCATCTGCACTGTTCCGCTGCATAAACTCAAACCCTAGTGAGAGAATCCAGAGAGAGAGAGAGTCTGATCCTTGGATCTGTTATCCCATGCGATAGAACTCCATCAACTCATGTCGATTGTGAGGAAGGAGGAAACCTGTTCAACGAAGTAGCCTGCTGGTTCTACCAGACTGGAATCGTTTTTGGTTAACTCTGAACTTTCTTTAGTAGTTTATCGTTATGAGCTGTATGTTTGTATATTGCATGTTGATTCTGGTCTGTGTCTAATTACTTTGCAACCATCTTGATTGTAAACCTTATTCTGAGCTAGTGGATCTGCCTGGGACCGGGTTTCCCCTCTTGAAACCCCGTAGATTAGGAAGTTCTTTTCCGAACTGCGTCATCATATCGCGTGTCTTTACTTTTCTGTTCTTGCTTTGTTTGATTGTTTGAAACGTTGAGATCCGATTTGCATGACTGTGACTTGGTTAAGTCTGTGAACAAATTTGATATCAGAGCCTTGTGTGATTTCTTGAAATCTGAAATTGAACCTCTGGTTTTAATTCTTGATTTCTTGAAACCCTAGTTCTTGATCATTCCTTTGTTGTTCGTTTTTCTGGGAACCCTAGCTCAGAATATTCTGTCTTGTGATTGCTGCTGTGTGTGTTGACTCTATCTATTTTCTGCTCTTGATTTATATTTTTTTTTTGAGACCACATTGGGAAAAAATGTCTGACTCTAGTACCAAGATTCGCATCTTTGATGGTACTAGTGATTTCCCTATGTGGCAGCTTAAGATGAAGGCTTTGTTAATGAAACAAAAATGCTTTAAAGTTGTTTCTGATGTTGAAATAACTGGAATATCTGAGTCTGACCTTGTTGAATTGAAAAATGCTGCCTACTCTGAATTGATAATTCACTTATCTGATAATGTTGCAAGAAAATTCTCAACTATAACTGATCCTAAAGTTCTTTGGAATACTCTGGAATCAACCTACATGAAAAAATCTATGTCTAGAAAAATCTCTCTGTTATGTAGGTTGTTCACTTTTAAGATGAATGTTTCTGTGTCTCTTTCTGATAATTTGGATAATTTTCTGAAATTAACACAAGAAATTGAGAAAGTGGATGAAAAGATAAAAGATACTCATCAAGCTGTCATTCTTCTTAACTCTTTGCCTTCTCAATTTGATAACTTCAAGGATGTCATTCAATATTCTAATGAAGATCTTACCCCTGGTAAGATCATTGATACTGTTTTAGAAAAGAATGAAACCCTAAAAGTTTTCAAGTCTAAGAATGATCCCTTGAATAATGAAAAGGCTGAAATCAAATCTGAAGCCTTAGTTGTTAAGGGTAAATCAAAGGGTAAGAAAAATGGCTCTAAAAAGAAGAAACAAAATGATAAGGAAAATTCTGAAAAGAAAGGTTTTAAGTGTCACTACTGTGGGATTGAGGGACACTTTGCTAGAGACTGTAGGAAAAAGAAAAGAGATAAACAGGGTGATTCAAAAACCACTGTTAATCCCAATTCTAATACTGAGTCTGCCAACATAATACAACATGAATTGCTTATCTGTTCTGATTCTTCTTTGAAAAATGAGTGGATCCTTGATTCTGGTTGTACCTTGCATGCCACCCCCAACAAAGCTATCTTTTCCTCATTACACTTGTACAATGGGGGAAAGGTGATGTTGGGGGACAATACTGCTTTGGATATTATGGGCATAGGTAATGTGCCTTTAAGGATGTTTGATGGAGTTGTTAGGGTCATTCAAAATGTGAGATGGGTCCCTTATTTGAGAAGAAACTTGCTGTCTGAATCTATATTTGATGAGTTAGGTTGTAGCATTGTTACTCAGGTTGGCATTATGATGGTTTCCAGAAATGGAAATCATCTTATCAAAGCACCTGCCAACTATTTATAAGAGGATTTGTTGTGTGTTAAATGTAGTGTTAATGGACCTGAATATTGGACATGAATGACCAGTCCGTTGGGCATTGAATCGTCCATAAACTATCCATTTAACGCAGCATTAAAAGACAAGAACGTTGGGCATTAACTTTCGTAACGGCTTAGGTATTCTGTTCCGGAAGCCAACAGAAGAGCCCTGAGGTCTTCTGTTAAGGAACGTTACAGGAAGAAACAAAAGTTAAATCGTATTTTTGAATGATAGATTTTCCGGACGGCATTCGTGTCTGCAGATCGCCCGCGCACACGAGTCGCGGTTTTTCTTCTCCATTTCGGGATTTGATCGGCACCCCCCTGCGCGTAAGAGAGAGCCTTTACCTTTAGGAATCTTAACTCCTTAAACGAGGCTTCCCTTTATAAGGGGGTGAAAATCCTTTGAGTTTTCCGGTGTCGTATAAAACACACTATAAACCCATCATTTTCCCAGTTTTTCAATTTTAACGAGTGAACTTCGAGAATCAATTTCTCATTCACCCGTTATCCGTTTTGAGCGTACCATATATCGAATTGTAGCCTTTAACAAGGACAATCCGAAACCACTTTGACCCGACCCAAATCGGAAGTGGACCCCACTCAAATAATTGCCCCAAATGACATTTAATGCAATTTTTAACACATATTTTTCCAACATCAACAAAATTATAGGAAAAGAAATTAAAGCAGGATAAAGCTACTACCAATACTGGTCCACCAAGTACTCAGCACTACAAAAGTTCCAAAGAATAAAACCAAACATTAAAAGTAAAACTCCGATAAAGCTACAGGACCACCGGTCCACCACGGCACAACCAAGTACTCAGCACTACAAAACTTCAAAAGAATAAAACTAAACATTAAAAGTAAAACTCCGATAAAAAGCGTCACGCAAATACGAAAGTACTTGGTCCAAAAGGGAGTGTTTGCAATTGGTCTATTTTAAAAAAAAATGAATTTTTAAGTGATTTTGGAGAAAGCATTTAATACTACTTTTCTCTCTTAAAAACTTTCTCACTTCTACTTTTAATCAATTTTTTGTGTTTTCTGTTAGTTCTCTCTCTTTTGCATAAACCTTAATCATGCACACAGTTTCTACTTTATTATTTTCCGTGTCGGTCAAACTTGACAAAGTTTTAGGGAACGAAAGTAGTAGTAAAAATTAGTAGTGTTTGAAAAAGTAAAAGTTAATAGTGTTTAGTAAAATAAGTGCTTATTTAGTACGGAGTAATAGAAAAAGTAAAAAGCAGTTTAAAACACCCTTCCACTTCTTTCGAACTTTTAACTTTTAAGTGTTTAATTTAAGCAAACGGTGTCATTTGAAACATTCTTTTCAGCTTTTTTAAAAATACCCTATATAAAATCTTTTTCTTTTTTGATTTATAAGATATAAAAAAGACAAATTATAAGATATAAAAAAGACAAATTAATGCAAATTGCAAATAGAATTAAAAATTTAAATTTACTCCTAAATAATAACACGTTGTTCCAAATATATTTAACGAAATGATTTTTTGTTGCAAGGGACAAAATGAATTTTTGAAAGGACTAAAAGTTAAGTCATCAACCAATTTAAAATATATAGAACGGCACATGGTCATTAGTTAGTATGAAAAGAAAACGGTAAAAAAGGTATATTTGTGTTACTGAAGTTACATTTAAGTAATCAGGTGGTGCGCAAAGTAACTCACTTCTACAATTAAACTTGTTACTATATAAGTGTCTTTCTGCTGCCATAAGAACCACTATGGCCGGAGTATCGTTTTCTTTAATATTAGTAGTGCTTACCTATTAAGTAATACTCCGCACTATTACTTACATTTTACATAGTCACATTGTGTGAAATAAGATGGAGAAAATTGTCCAACGTAGGATCAAAACTCAAACTTTTCTCCAAAATAGTATCACATTATGTTTTTTCCTAAATAGGACCAACGAAACTTTACCTTTTTCATCCCTAATTCTATATAATTAATTAATTG